TATAATACAAATATACAAATAATAAATACTTTTAAATTATATACAAAGTTTGATGCAAATTATATACAATGATATGTATAAATTATTCAGATTTAGCAAAAATCTCTCTATATACAATGTTTTTAGTATATACACCTTCTTTTCTTTTTTTATACCCATCTTCAACTAAGACTTTAATATTATTTCTTGATTGAACTCTTGATTAAGCAATATATAATTGCCCATGTGTAAAGACTAATTTGGGTAAATTTAATCCTATAATAGAAATTGTTTGGCCTTGTGCTTTGTTTATAGTCATTGCAAAAGATAATTTTATAGGAAATTGAATTCTAACTAATTGAAATGGAAAATTAAGATCAGATGGTATCAATCTTACTCGAGATAAAAATATTTTATTTCCTTGGTTAACTCCTGTTAAAATTTTAGCTTCAAGAATATATTCATAGCAATTTTTAATTATTAATCTTGTACTATTGCATAATCCTTCAGCTGGATTAATATTTCGTAAAAGAATGACTAGTTTATCTTTTTTTAATTTTAATTTATGAAGTAGTATTTCACTTGGTGTTAATGAATTTAAAAATTTTAATGTATAAAGACTTGAATCTACTTCTTTTTCTTCAATAGAATCAGCAGAATCATATTCAAATACTTTTTTATCTGGAATAATTTTAAGTATTTGTTATTAATTTTTTTAACATCAATATTTTTAGTTGTTAAAATTGCTCTATCTTTAATATAGTTAGAATTTTGATAGTTTGTATTAATATCATTAAAAATTTTTGATATTAATTTGTTAGGATTTTTACTATCTTTACTACTTAAGACTATATCATCAGGCAATTTTATAAAGTCTTCACCAATGTCAGAATGCACTGAAATTTTTCCTTCACCAACTTTTAATAAGAAGTCAACAAAATTTTTTTGATCAACATTTTCTTGTTGTTGAACTCTCATATTAATAGTTAATTTCATGCTAGTAAAAAATTTCCAAAGAACAGAAGACTTTAAGCATGCATCAACTATTTGGGCTCTTGTACCTTGAACTACTACAGGTAAAATTTGTCTAAAGTCACCACCAAGAACCATAACTTTGCCTTCAAATGGTTTATTGATATTCATTAAATCTCTAAAACTTTTGTCAACTGCTTCAAATGCAAATCTATTCATCATTGGTACTTCATTCTATAAAATTACTTTAGTAATTCTAATTAATTTAGCTAATTCAGATTGTTTTTCAATATTTAAAATACTGGTTTTTGTTAATTTTAATAGAATTTTAAATCTTGAATGAGCAGTTCTTCTACCACTCATTAATAATGCAGCAATTCCTGATGATGCTACAGCAATTGCAATTCTATTTAAACCACTTGTTAATCTTATATAAGCTAAGATCATATTATATAAAAATATTTTTTCAGTTCCTCCAGGTCCATTAATAAAAATTAATTTTTTGTCAGAAACTCTATTAATTGTATCTATAACTGTATTAAATATATTTCTTTGGTCAATATTTAATTTATCAAGATTATTTAATGTTTTTTCAATATCATCTTGATTATAATCTTGTTTATTAGCAATTAATGTATGTTGTTGATTTCATCAAATAAATTATAATTTAATTCTGGAAGTTGTTTTGAATAATTAAAAAGATTTAATATATTTTGTATTAAATAATTTTCAATAAATACTAATATTTTTGCAATTGCTAATTCTTTACTATCTTCTTTAGTTATAAAATCTTCAATTAAATTATCAACATAATTTTTTCAGAGTTTTTTTAGATTTGCAGGTTGACAATATATTATTAAAACAAATAATTGTCTTAGTTGAAAGGGCATTTTGAATTTAACTGCTTCTTCTAAACATTGAATACATTCATTATCATCATCTACTAATCCAATCTTAGCTGCTGCTTCTTTAAAAGTATTATATTTTATTCTATCAATTGTTTTTGCATCTTCAAATCCTGTAGCACAATACATTAGATTTAATATTGTAACAGCCTAACCCGTGATTCAACCACCCGTGACCCATCTCCCTGTAACAAGTTACCCGTAAATCGTGATGCAAGCCTGTGACCAAGTTTTGACCCATGGAGAGTAATAATTAGTTATTAGTATATGCATGAACTATGTAGTCATCGAATAGTTAACATTAGTAATATTAGTACGAATGCGCATGAACTATGTAATCATTGATTAATATTACCATGCGCATGAATTATGTAGTCATATCAATTAGTTAGTAAATTAGTATGCACATAAACTATGTAGTCATCGAATAGTTAGTAATAGAAGTATTGATGAACCAAGATATAAAAGCTGTAACAAACCTTTACTGTACAAATCAGTCTGTTCAACATAAATAAACTATTTGTTTTGCTTAAGCTTCCTATCCTGGCCTCGCCGTTACAGTTTGAACAGACTAATTTTTAAAGAAAACCTTGCCCTCAACCCCCTTGCCTTGTTATATTTAATCCCCAATAAATAATAATAATAAAAATAAAAAAAAAAAAAAAAGAAGAAAAGAAAAGAAGGGGAAAAGCAGAAGCAGTTTAACGGCCCCATACCCTATCAATTAATAATAGACAGCCAACCGGATCTCAACACAATACTAACCGCGTTAAACCAACTTCAGTTAGACAACCAAACCCTTCACCAAAAAAACACAGAACTTAGAGATGTTCTTAATCAATTTCGTGCCCAAGGAGTTGACAATAATTATAAGGAGCCCAAAGTAAGCCTCCCGGATAAATTCGATGGCACACGAAGTAAACTCAGAGGATTTCTGAACCAAATTTGCCTTGTTATATGGATGTAGCCAAACCGTTATCCTGACGATCGTACACAGGTGGGCCTCCTTGGAAGCTTGTTAACTGGATCAGCTTTAGCTTGGTTCACACCTTTGTTGGAAAAGCAATCAAAGCTTCTAGAAGACTTGGGGAACTGGTCAAAGAGTTTGAGGCAACGTTTGGCGATGCTGACAAGTCCAGGACCGCCGCTAACAAGATACGAAAACTTGTTCAAGGATCTAGGCCAGCCTCAAACTACGCTTCTGAATTTAGACAGATTGCTAGCGACCTGGACTGGGGTGAAGCAGCACTGGTCGACCAGTTCAGAACCGGGTTACGAGATGACATAAAAGACTTACTTCTTACCATAGAAGACCCCACCTTGTTAAATGATGCAATTTCAAAGGCGGTATGTTGTGATAATAGCCTATTTGAATGAAAACAAGAGCATCCCAGAGATTCAGGATCAGGAAGACACCAAATCTCAGCACCCAGCAATTCAGCAAGCTCTGTCACAGAACCTATGCAAATTGATGCTGTACGATATAAGCCACTGTCCGTTGGAGAGAAGGAACGAAGACGTATGAATAAACTCTGTTTATACTGCGGCAAGCCTGGCCACATAGCTAAATATTGTTTTAAAAAACCCAATTCACGGTTCAAAATCGATGCTGTCGTAGTCTCAGATGAGTTTTTGGAAAAAGGGGAGCCCCAGCTGTAGTAAGGGGACTACGGCTAGATCAAGACATTAGCTTAAACCCCAAAATACTATTATCCTATTCATCTAATACCCTTACTCCTAAACTGAGTTTACACTTACCGGGCGGCTCCGAGGTTAAAATAGTAGCTTTAGTCGACTCTGGTGCCTCTGCTTGTTTTCTAGACACTACTTTCGCTCAAGAATGTAATATACCCATTTACAAAAAAGAACTACCATTTTCAGTAGAAGTGATCGATGGCAGGAAAATCTCTTCTGGGAATGTTACTCATGAACCGGGACCCTTACTTATATGCCTCCAAGACCACTATGAAAAAATGTTGTTCAATCTTATTTCATCACCCTATTATCCAATAATCCTGGGCTTACCATGGCTTGACTTACATAACCCTACAATTAATTGGCATGAACGTTCCATAATCTTTTCCGATCCAATGTGTAAAGAGCACCACACGAGCTCAAGGTCTTTAATGTCTAACCCTCAGCAGGAACGAATATTTGTAGTACGAGTTTTCACAATCTCAGCATTTAACCCGTGCATTACTAGCACCCATACAGTCCCTGAAAAATACAAAGACTTCAACGATGTGTTCAACATAAAAGAAGCTGATAAATTACCTAGAAGCCGCTCATATGACTGTTCCATTGACTTGTTGCCTGACAAACAACCACCGTGGGGTCCTATATATGAATTGTCCACTCGAGAACTTGAAGTACTAAGAAAGTACATTGAAGAAAACCTGGAAAAGGGGTTCATTCGTCACTCTAAGTCCCCAGCTGCGCACCTATCCTCTTCGTCAAAAAGAAGGATGGCTTATTGCGTATGTGTATTGATTATCGGGGCATAAACCAAATCACCATCAAGAACCGCCACCCTCTTCCCCTAATACCAAAACTACTCAACAGGCTCACCGACGCCCAGATCTTTACTAAAATTGATCTGAGAGGTGCCTATAATCTTGTTCGTATCAGGCCAGGGGACGAGTAGAAAACAGCGTTCCGTACTCGATATAGACGCTTCGAGTATATGGTGATGCCGTTTGGGCTCACTAATGCCCTAGCTGTATTTCAACACTTAATGAACGATATCTTTCGAGACTTTCTAGATCGATTCGTAATAATCTACTTAGATGATGTCTTGATATACTCACCTAACCCCGAAGAACACGTTTGGCACGTGCGACTGGTATTGGAACGTTTACAACAACACGGCCTGTATGCAAAGCTAGAAAAATGTGAATTTGATAAGGAATGTGTCGACTTTTTGGGTTACCGTATTACGCCCAGGGGGATCCAAATGGACCCCAGTAAAGTTGAAAGCCTCCTCTCATGGCCCACCCCAACATCCATTAAAAATATGCAAAGGTTTCTAGGATTCGCTAACTACTATCGGCATTTTGTTAACAATTATGCTCACAAAGTCACCCCTCTTACAAATCTAACCCAAAAATCAAAAAAAACGGCTCCCTTCTGCTGGCCGGCGGCAGCTCAAGAAGCTTTCACCTTCCTGAAGGAAGCTTTTACCTCAGCTCCAATTTTGATCCAAGCGGATCCTACAAAACCCTACTTCTTGGAAACAGATGCTTCTGATTATACTTT